CTATAAGCTAAGAATAGAAAGGTAGTGTTCTTAGGATAAATTGAGGAAGTTTTACAACCTGGCCCTTGATGATTAACCTCTGAAACTGTCTACTTCTGAACAAGTTATTGGTGACAATTATGTATTTATGCATCTTTGGAGAGGCAGTAAAGCATACTAGTTAAGAACCTGAGCTTGTGGGCCTAGGAAGTAGATGCTGACTTTAGGACTTAATAGCTCATACCCTTGGGCAAGTTCCTTACTTGATCAATACTTCTACTTACTCATCTTTAAAATGGAGATAAGAAAAGATCCCTTGTACAGGGTTATCTTGGGGGTTAAATGAACTAATATATGTAAAGGACTTTTGAGTAATTTCTTGTAAATATAAGAACTCCACGAATGCTGGTTAATAACACATTTTTTTTGTCCTAAATCGCTATTTTTTATTTCAAAAATTTTTGAGTCACAGAAAACTTACAAGAATACAGCAGCAACAACAAAACCTTATGTACCATGAACCTAGACTTATTAATTTATCTGTTGCTGTATTTGCTTGCCTGTGCTATGTGTGTGTTTCCCCTGGATCCTCTGAGGGTATGTTGTAGGCAGTACGTTGTATTGTTATTGGTATGATAGCCTGTTACTTGTTTATACAACATGTGATCCAAACTAGACCAGCGAAACAAGTTCCTCCTTTGAATTTGAATCCTGGAGTGGGGTGATGCGAAGACATCTATTGCTATCACACCCTGACTGGTACAAGTGGCCTGGAGAAAGTGAGCCCTGGTCCTGAGACTCAGCAAGTGAAGCTTTATGCAATCACAAGTGTAAGCAAAATCTCTTCATTTTTGGAGGACTTAAGCACCGAATTTAAGCTTCTGTATCCCCTATTCCAAGTCAACTTCATCAGCATAGGAGTCTCAGAATTTGAGACTATTTCCCCTGTCTATTGAAAGGTCCTAACAAAAGTCCACAGTGGCAAAATGACTGGGTTATCAGTTGCTTTGTCTGACAAAGCACTTCAAAGTCTAGGCTCATAAAATACCCATTTTATTATTGCTTATGATATAATAGGTTCATTGAGCTTACCTGGTGGTTCTCTGGTGCCAGATCTTCTTGGTCACTTGGGGTGTGAAGGGCCTAGGAGAGGCTAGAAAGCTGCCAGTCTCATGACTGGCAGATGCTGCTGGCTCTTAGCTAAGAAGCTGGGCTGTCACCTAGTGCCTGAATGGTCTCCCACGTGACCACTCACGTGGTGTTGGCTTCCCATAACTGGGCAACCGGATCCCAAGTGGAGGGGAGTATATGTTGCTAATCATCTATAGCAGGGACTCAGAAGGTTCCCCCCAGCTCATGACTTCTACATTCCCATGGGTTGACAGTCACTTAACATACCCAATTCAAGGAAGAGGAAATAAAGTTTGCTCTCGATGGAGGAGGGGCCTGTGCACACGAGAGGAAGGGAGGAGGGATGTCAGGTATCTTTACGGACTCTTTACTAGAACATGGCACTCATTTGGCTTAGATTTTTAAGTCTAGAGTGGTACTTTCCAGCTCTCAGCCAAAGGTCAGCTCAGAGGTTGCTTCTTCCTGGAAGCTTTCTCAAATACTCCTTGAGTTAGAGATCTGTCTTGGGGTTCTCAAACAACTTGTATATATCTTTTTCTGGTTAACATAAGTTGTACTTTCTGCAGCCATATATATCAACAGATTATTTTTCTTGTCTCCTACTTTCTTAAACCTCCTTTTCTTCCTGCCTCCTTCCTTCTCGCTTTTCTTCCACAAATGTTTATTAGTGTCTACGTTAGGCCAGACACTAATCTAGGTGTTGGAGCTAGTGCAATAAACTAAACAAATTTCCTGCTTTCCACTTGGAGCTTATAGTCGAAAGAGGAGATTGAATATTAAAAAAAAAAAAAAATCAAAGAGTGTTAATGTTGATGAAGAAAATAGTGCAAGATGATCTGATTCTCTGTGTGTGTATACTTTATAAGAAAGAGACATGCAAGCAAACCTCTGAATGACAACAGGGGCAAGTCAGGAGGAAAGAAAATTCCAGACAGCAAAGGGAAGGGCAAGTGAAAGGCCCTGAGGCAGAAGCATGCTTGGTATGTTCAGGAAACATCAGGAATGTTAATGTCTGGCATGGAGTAAGAAATGAAAAGAGATAAATTACTTGAGATCAGAGAGGGACGCAGAGACCAAATCAATTAGGGTCCAGATTTTATCTCAAATGTAATGGGATGCCATTGGAACATATTCAGGTTGGAAGTGACATAATTTAATCTGGTTTTTTCAAAGATCCCTCTGTCTACTGTGTGTGGAGTGGCTTATAGAGAGACTAATGGGAGAAACAAGAAGAGCAGCTGGGGACAGTCACAGCTGTTTAGGTGAAAACTTGTGTGAAAAATTGTGTAGCACCTTAGTATCTAACACAGTAATTACTGTCTGATGTTTAATGAGGGGGTGGGCTCATCCAGACAGCACAATTTGCTAAGTCTACAGTATTGCTAAGTTCTGTAGTGGGTGCTGAAAGGGGAGAGAGAACAAGAGACAAAAGTCCTACCCTCACAGAGCTTTCATTCTAGGAAGGTAAAGAGATAATAAAAACCACATATGAACAAAAGCGATAGTGTTTCCAATGACAAAAAGTGCTCGGAAGAGAAATGAAGCAGGGAAGAGGGGTAGGGAAGCAGGGTTGGAGTGGGGTGGAAACTTACAAAAGAGAAACCAGAGAATTCTCCCTGATGAGGTGACATCTGGACAATGTCCACGGGGGAGATGAGAGAGTGAACTGTTTGGATTTTCTGGTAAAAAAGTGAGTTCGGTTCAGGAAATAGCAAGTGAGTTCCGAGTGTGCTAGGCCTCTTGGAGGGAGCAGGAGCCCACGCATCTGAAGCAAGCAATGAGCGACAAGGGGAGGAAAGGTCCTGGTTGGGGTTTTGCAGGTTACTGCCTAGATCTTTGGAGGCAGACAGTGTTACAGGGCAGGAGGAGGAGGGCATCCCAGCACCCCCAAACTTGTTCTAGTTTCTGCCATCCGCTGCATCTTGACAAAACATAGTCTAGTATATGACTTATTTTATTTACATTTAAAAAATAATATGATAGTTTATTGTTATATCATTTTGCATCTTCTCCCATCTCAGTTGTAATCCCCGTGGCCTTCCCACCAGATCAGCCGTGTGCCATCACCATAGTCCAGTGCACTTCCCTCCCCCCACCGTTTTTGATCCCATTCCCCACTTAACCCCCGTAAAATGTTTCTGGTATATAGTTGCTCATTATTATTATATTTTCTCCCCTGGTCCTTTATACTCCTACTATGAGTGAAACCATCTGGTATTTTTCTTTTTCTTTCTGGCTTATGATCCCTTCCAGCTCCATCCATGTTGCTGCAAAAGGCATGAGTTTATCTTTTTTTTTTAAATTTCTGAGTAATATTCCCTTGTATATAAGTACATAAGACTTTTAATGGACAGGAACTCTAATAAAATTAATGTGCAATAAAGAGAAGGGGAAGAATAGACAAGATAGTTTTCACATGAAACATTCAGAGTTATATATCTTCTCACAGGTAAATGTCCAGTTAAACAAGGTTGGCCCAAAGCAGGATCACTGAGGCCCAAACGCTTGCCACAAGTCCAAGACAACTTCTGGTGGGGACTCATAGGAAAGGGGCAGAAAGGGCAGTCTGGAAGGAAAATAACCAAATAAAAATCAAACAAAGGCTGCCATAGGTCTCTGTCACTCACATCTCTCTTTTTCAAGTGTCTCCTTCCAAGTCTCCCAAGTTCCTGGGACAAGTGTAAAGCTGAGAAGCAAGTGCAGGGACTATACCTGTCTCCTGCACCCAGTGCTCTTTCAGGTGCTCTTGTCACTTTCCCTGTCTCCACTCTGGCTTCTCTGCTCAGCCCCACCCTTCCTTAGGGTGGGGCAAGGACCTTTTCCCTCGGAGACAAAGTCCCTTCCTCTGGGGATCCCTGTTACAAAAGAGCGTCATATTTTCCCCCAGGACCTCACTGGCTCCTGTACTGAGAATGGACTCCAGAGAGAATGGGTGGAACAGAAATAGGGAGATGGTGAGGAAGTGACTGCGTTAGCCTAAGCCGTTATCTATTTTGTCCCATTCAAACTCAGGACATTTAATGCTAATTTAATGCTATTATCTAATATACCACCCACATTAAACTTTGCCTACAAAGTCCTTTTTATATTAAAAAATCTGAATGCAATAAATCGCATTTGCTGCATTCGGTTTTACCTCTTCCACGCACTGCTATTTTTAAGTACAGGCTTAGGTGTTTCGTGGCGTGCTCCACATGCTGGGTTTGTCCGATTGTGTTTTCATACATCAGTTAGCTTTTTTTTTTTGGGCAAGACGTCGGAGGTGGCTTTGTATTTTCCGGATTGACACCCATGATGTCAGTGTTCAGCGATGCTCAAGTCAATCACTCGGTAAAGGTGGTGTGTGAAAAAAGAGCTCCTTTGTAAAGCGATATACTTCGTGGTTGTCAGCGCTAAGTACTCGGGACTGAATATGCCGCGCGCAGACTATTGTCCAACAATCTTTCACCCAGTGATGTCCATGAGCATCTAGGAACAGCCTCGTGGCTTCTGACCTTCTGACCTTGTGCCTTAGTTTGCTCATCTTAACAAAGAGAATAGTGGTCCCTAACGGACGGTTGTTTTGAGGATCTGTCCTTGGCATACAACAGATGCGCTATAAACGTTAACAATTTCGTTAACGAAGGGGAAAAACTGAATGCTAGCGCAGGCACCGCACGGCCGTGCCGGGGTCGCGCCGCATCTCACGGCAGCAGCAGCCGCGTCTGAACGCAGCCCCGGGCTCCCACCGGCCACGCCCTCGCGCCGCGGAGCCTGGCGGGGCCCCGGAACGCAGAAGCCGGGCCGCGCAAGGCCCCCTGGGACCGGTAGTGCTGGGCGTGGCCACGGGACTACATATCCCGGCGGCCCCCGCGCCGCGGCTTCAGCGGCTGCCGCCTCAGTCCTTCCACAGCGACGGCGGCGGCCGCGGCGGCTGAGTCGGTGGCGGTGGCGGCGGCGGCGGCTGAGGGCTGAGGGCTGAGCGGCGAGTTTCCGATTTAAAGCTGAGCTGCGAGGAAAATGGCGGCGGGCGGTGAGTGGAGATAAAGGAGGAGCGGCGGCAGGCGAGGGGGTGGAGTGCGAGGCGAGGGAAGAGGGCGAGTCCCCCGGGCTGCCGCGAGCGGGCGGCTTCTGCCCCGCGGAGGCGCTTGTGGGGCGCGCCGAGTGGGGGTCGCGCTGAGATAGTTTTGGGGAGTCGGGGCCGTGCCGCTTCCCCACAGCCTGGGGACGATCTCCGCTGGAGGAGGGGAGTCAAGACGGCAGCCGTCTCGGAGGGGTCCCCTGCGGAGGGGTCACCCTGAGGAGTTTGGGGGAGACCTCGGGTGTCCACTCTTCCCTCCTATCCCTAAAGTTTTTTGGTTCTCCTGCCTCCCCCAGTCCATGGGGGCTGCTTTTGAAAGCTCCTGGCGTCCCCCTCCTGCTGCCCCTGGCTCCTTCGCAGTTAATTCACGAGTATTTGGGGGGCGAAGGGAGCCGCACAGACTACCCCCGACCTCCACCCCGGCCGCCAAGTCCCACTCGGAATCGGCTGGATTTTGTTGCATGTTCCTTTCTGCACTTGGGGCATTTTTGATATTTTAGCCCGAATTATCTGCGGAATTACCATTTTGGGCACGGGTAGGTTCTCAGTAGAAATGCATTTTGCTACCTCTGGTGTGAAGGTTGGGAAATGGCAAGCGGGAAGTTGGTGGATTGAATTTGGGGCTTGGGGGTCTATTACTGCGGTTCCCCCACCCCCCCCCATTCTCCTTTACTGTCTACTTACGGACCGTGATTCAGTTTGCGATGATTTAAATAAACTGCTTTTCTTGCACACGCCTTGCAGAAAAGCCATGAATGTTTGTGAGGGTTAGTTGCTGCTTCGGCGGTTAGCGGGCACCCCAGGGTGGAAAAGTTAACCAAAAGAGCAGTTGTGAGAAGAGGGTGAGAGCATCATCTCGAAGTCTCGCTAGGTGGAGGAGCTCGGGATTCCCAAATAAGAGTAAGTGACAAGGGGAAGGGCTGAGGTTCTCTCCTAGTCGAAACTTTGTATCCCCTCCCGAATTGTAAAGACTTCCTTTTTGCAGCTTTTGAGCAGCGCTTCAAAGCCAACCTGTTTTTGTTATTAAGCCTGTACCGTAAAGAAACAGGAAGGCGAGTACCAGCTGTGTTGCTGCAGTGGTTTTAAATCGAGTCGAATGAGATGAGTGAGAGTGGTAGTAGAATTCAGTAAGAGTGCTGCATCTGCTTGGTTTAAATGCTCTGGCTTCACGTCTACCAACTGGTCCCTGGCTGCAATAGACCGTCAGTATTTGTTGCAGCAGGTTGTTTAGAGGATGATGGAAAGAAAAAATAATCACAGATCTTCACCGAATGCTGCAGAAACCAAAAGGTTGTTTAATGGAAATCTGGACCGTTCTTGGAAAAAAAAATTAAATTATTGCTTGTTTATGATATGTAGTATAATCTGTTCTAAATATACAACTGGAAACGTACAAATACTGAAAAAAAATAAGTCTCCTACTGTTAACTCTTAATCTCCTTCCTGGGAAGCAGGAATTGTTACTGTTTTCTGCAGTATCCTTTGAAATAATTATTATAAAGATGTTCATTTGGAGCACACTCCTGTTGGAAACCAAAAGCCAGGAGAATAAAATGAATAGAAGAAAGGGAAAATGTGGTGGGAATACGGTTTTTTTTTAATTGTCGAAAAAAGGTTGATAGCTATTAGAAAGCCCTTCTGAACTTACTGCTTTATCTATCAGCATCTTTAAAGAAATAATCTGTGGGGCTTTAGCATGAAGAGCCCTGCAGGGTTCATTGTTTGTATGTAAAATGAAGCCTCTGTTTGTAACATGTAAAATGATATTGAACACTATAGCTCTGTCACTGGGGGTTGCTTCAGGTTCTGCATTTAAATGAGCAGTAATCTAGATTGCCTGTGATCCTAAATTATAGGGGTATTTTATGTATCGATATAAATGGCTTAATTATCCAATCAGCATTTAAAAACATGCACATGCCAGTTTCACCATATAGAGTACATTTTGGACAGGAGAATTGTGAGTTAAGTGGGAAGGTAATAATTTTTAGAGCAGTTAAGGGAATGTTTCTACCATAAAATACTTAACTACAGAGACATTGAAAAATGCAAAAACAATCCCAGCATAATTAACAGGATTTTTAAAATTTTAGAACGTTTTTAAATTTACCAATACCAATTAGTAATATTAGCTTTTCGAGCATTAGGGATTATGTTAAATACTTATATATTTTAAAAATGAATATACTGTACATTTCCCCACAAGTAAAAAAAAAAAAATTCTGTAACTCATCTCCAACCCACCCCTTAAGCAAATAAGTTAGAATTCATTCAGTAAGGAGTAAGTTGACCCCTGGACTCTTCTGGGAGCCTTATAAGTAAAAAGTAGTTCTTAAGATGGTTACTTCTGGCCTCTTGAACGATCTTTTGAAATAAGCTTTCTTATTATGTCAATGTCGGGCATTTTAAAGATAGAAAGTTAAAAAAATTTTTTTTGAGCATTAGTAGTATGATTTTGAGATTAGTTCCTGTTAATGTGAAGAATACTATGTTTTTGATGCATCTTTAGTTTTTTTAAGTCTTTTAAAAGATATCAGGAAAAATATTTTAGTTTGGGCAGTAGGGTAAGATTAAAAAAAAATCCACCCAAACGGCTATTGTTTTTCCTTGATTGGGTTAATTAAAATAAATAGCTTTAGGGTTCTTGTAATTTTTAAGAATCTATAATTGAAGTGATAGCCAGAGGATGTAGTTACTTTTGAAAACTGTTAATTTTGTTGCAAGTTTGGAACATAACTTCTCCAGTGGTTGTCTACACAGCCCAAGGGACTACAATTGATTACAGTGTTACTCTTTTAATGCTATGTAACATTAGGAAAACAAGAGTTTTGTCAGATTGACAGTAATTGAGACAGGATAGTTTCTGATAGACTAAACACTTTGGTTTGAATTTACTGTACTCTTTAGTTTGAATATTACTGTCCCCTACCATCCCTCCCCCCCCCTTTTTTTTTTAACACAGTATTGAGTGGTGAAAACTTCGGAAGCAAAGAATTGGCATTGGAAATGTAAGCTGTTATTTTTTTCTTGTAGTTAAACTATTTAAAAGGATGGGTGATGTTCATTAGTTTAGAATCTCATGTATAGCACTGAGATGGAATGCTGTAGTAAAATGTAGGCATTTTCCATTTTATGAATGTTTTTGAGGGTGGGGGAGGGGATTGCAAGTGAACTTTTCAAAGTTAAAGTGGAGGAGGGGCTCTATTGTAATGAGGCTTATTCCTTCATTTTGTTAATGTTTGCTAGGTAAATTCATTTGGTTTTCTGACTAGGCTTCAGGGAAAAGATTACTTTGGGTTAAGGGTGCCATTTACCCAGCGCCTACCCTTAGTTCCAGTTCCCTAACAAGTGATGGAATTGTCGAGTTTAATATCCTTTCCCTTTCCCACCTTCTGGTGGAGAGTCGTTAAATGAACAGGAAAATGGCCAGAAGATACACAGCAGTAGAGTGGAAGGACCTGCAGTATCTGGAAGGCTGATTTAGTCACAGACTGGATAATCTTCAACTACATGCTGTCCGTGCCCAACTTTGCCATATTAACTCAGTTTGGTAGGCTCTGCTGGACTAGGTTAGTTTATAGGAGGCAGTTGTAAAGACTTATTTAACTGTGTGGTAAATTTTGTGGCCTTTAGGCAAAGGAATGGAGACTAACCTCTACTGGTAAATAGGCTTTACCCATTTCAGAGAATATTCTTAAGAGCAAGTGGAGTAGCGGTGTCCTTCCTTTCTTTTCTTTTTTTCTTTCTTATTTTTTTAGGGGGCGTGAGTTAGTAGTGACCTCTGTTTATCCTTTTTTTTTTTGTTTTTGTTTTTCTTCAGGAACATGTGTCCACTTTTGTCTTTCTCATTAGTTTTTTTAAGTCAGTATATTATTCTAGAAAAGACTGTGACTTTTGGTTTCTGCTTTTCTGTGAGGGTTATTTAATTTTCTTGGTTAGCAGCTATGAGTGAGAGTTATAAAACCTCATATTTTGGAGCCTAGGCTGACTGGGTTACTAAATTTAACTCTTCATCCACTAACCATGTAAAGGGAATATTGGCCTGTGTCAAATGTTAATGGCTAAATCTACCCTCCTTGGGGTTTTGCTTTTGGTCACTGTGGCAACTGATTTGGAGTGGTAGATGGATAGATGGGAAAGGACTGCAGAAGTCAGCATAATCCTCAATTAGGATAAGCCTCATGGTTAATTGAATGTTGAATGTACAGGTTAAATCCCATTATAACAGACTCCAGGGGACTAGCTAAATTATTTCGTGGTACTGGAATCAAACTTTACTGAATATTGTTAAAAATAAATTTATCTTTAAAATATAATTTTATCATTTTTTGAATGCTGGCTTCTCTTTGTTGAAGCAACATTCAGTGTAACCTCTTTCAGGTGTGTTACATTAAGGCTCACCCGAATATGTACTACATTAAGTTCACTGCTCAGTCCAGTTCTAGCTTTCATACAGCTGTCCCTTTTTATCCCACTTATCCTCCTTCCTCGTCCTTTTGGGTAACCACTAATTGGTCTTACAATATAAAAGTTTATTTTTGTTTTATTTAGCACATCCATTTGTTTGCTTTCTGTTATATGCCACAGATGAGTGAAATCATGGCATTTGTCTTTCTCCTGATTTTTTACTAAGCACAGTATATTCTGGTTGCAGATGGTAGGGTTTCTCATCTTTTTTTATAGCTGAATAGTATTCAATTGTTTATATACCACAGTTTATATACCACATCTTTGTTGTGGAGTGGAACTTAGATTGGTTAGTCTTTTTGTTTTTGGTAAAAGTGCTGCAAATATTTTTATTGTACCGATTTGTCAGTTTGTTACTTGTGAACCAGTGTGTTTTACCTTAATTTTTAATGCTTTTACCTTTATAAAGGAAACAGCCCATGTTTGAACTAGATAATTTTATCTTCCTGGTTTCCATCTTCATTGATTTATCTCAACAGCCCAAT